GGGGGGGGGGGGGTGGATGAGACGACATACAGTTATAATCAATAGCCAAAAAGATAAGTTTGTGATTGGCATGCACACACACAGCTCACCCTGCAGCTGGTTAGCGGTGTTCTGCTGTTGCTGCTGTTGTGTGAAGGCCTCCTGAAGTCGACTGATCTCCTCCTCATACTTGGCGGCAGTGTTCCTCCAGTGCTCCAGCTCGACGCGCACACCGCCCAGGTCAGCCTGCAGGGTGGTGATTTCCCGCTCGCGCTCCGCCGTGGCTGCCTCCATGGCGTGTCGCAGAACGAGGATCTGACAGCAGCAACACAAACCAAGTGGAGGTCAGATATATATATATGACCAGGATTTAAATAACAATAAAGGTGAGTGAGAGTCTGAAGATCTAAGACGGGAGTCAGGGGATGGAGAGAAGAGGTTGGAGTTTTGAGATAACATTAATACTCATGTCTTTGTTTTGAAGCTAAAACGATCTCTGTCACGCTGTTACTGACGGTAAGTGTACACAATGTTTTGTTAAGCAGAGAGTTCTGAAACTATAATGAGGCCAGTAGCATTTACAAACTTCTTCATCGTAGGCACTCGAAAACAGTGTGAATGGATGGCAGACATAGACGTAGCAATTGTGCATTTAAAACTAAAACATATTGGTGGAGCCTAAGAGGGGCGCCTGGAAGTTGTTGAACTAAGTAAAAGTTGTGAGAAAGTAGAGGAGGCTGTGAGGAGTAAGAGGGTGTGTAGGTGAGGTGGAGTAATGGTACCTCCTCCTGGGCGGAGTAAAGCTCGTCTCTGGTGATGCAGATGGTGCTCTCCCTCTGCTCCCTCAAAGCCTCCATGTCGGCCTGCAGCTTCCCAAGCTGAGCTGAAAACACACACAGGGAGCAAAGCAGATAAATATGATGAACGATGATAAATACAAATGTACGGAGAGTGTGTGTGTGTGTGTGTGTGTGTCCTTACTCTGCAGGTACTGGATCTGTTTGGTCGACTCTTCAGTCTGCTGAGAGTTACTTCTCCTCTCCTCCTCCAACAGAGCTGCAGACAGACAGTCACACATTCACTCATGTGACTTACAATGAGAATCTGAATTAAATCTCCTCGCAACAATGTTAGAAACTATAAAATCAAACATTGGAGGGAAACTCAATTAACAAGAGTCATTCTTTTATTTTCTGATCAAGTCAAACATGAGGAAATTGAGGAATCTGCTCATGCAAATAGGATCTTTGATTTAGTCTTAGCTTCTAGAGGGTTTACTTTCTATACACTTAGTTACCTTGTAGCTCCTGACATTTCTGCTTGCCGGTGTTGGCTAATTCCTGGGCCTCCAGAAGCTCTCTGTGGAGATGGTGGATGACCTGCTCCGTGTCTCCAGGCTCTAGACCAACCCGATGCAATTCAGCTGCACACAAAGCAATTTATAAAAAACTTTAACACGTGTAAATAAAGAGAGTGAAGCATTTTAAAGAACCTGCAGGCAACAAAGTAACAGAACAGCTCCACCTAATGGCTCAAATCCTTAGTTTGTGGTGTGTCAGTGAAGCTCGGAGAAGAACTACAAAGCAGAGAGGAGTTGCCATGGTTACCTTTGAGCAGAGCTACTCTGTTTTGTGGTTCGTTCAGCTCCTGGTCGTCCATGTTGCCGTCTGGGGAAAAAAAAAATTTTTTAATGAAGGCCAAAAACAGACCTTTAAAAATATATAAGGAAAAAGAACCAGATATAAAAATGATTACAGAAAAAAGGTGAAGACAATAGTTAAAGTTGTATTTTTTAAACTAGAAGAAGTATACATAGAAGCATTTTAAAAGTGTCTGGTGTAACATCAGGTGAAGTATAAATGATTCTCTGAACAATATTTAGAACACATCCCATAATAAATGTATTACAGAGTGGATGTTCAACATGTAACAGAATAATGAGCTCCAGCAAACAATTTCCCCCATTTCATCTTAAACAATGTTAAGCTACAAAAGTTACTACAAGTCAACGGTTCAAACTTCAGAACAAAAACTTCACCTACATACCAATGAGACTAATGTACTCAATAAATACTGCACTTTATACTTATTCAATATAAGATGAAATACAATTATAGGAATCCAGAGTGTTTTACTGACCTGATGTGTCGTCGCTACTGCGATCTTTGCTCGGACTCAGTGTGTCTGACATGTCTGACTCTTTGGCATCCATCTGATTCCCTGTGGAAACACACACACGCGGAAAGAGAGAGGAGGGGCGTTGAATAAGCGGGACATAAGTGTGTATGTGTGTTTGTGTGTCTGTGTGCAGGCAGTTTGTCTCCACTTCTTCACTTGACTGTTTAGAGGTTCAGATTTGATGTTGGAGTTAGAAAACGTGTGGTCGTGAGGGTTACGGTCGTAGGCCAAGAAACTGACCGGGACCAGAGCAGAACAGAAACATAAATGTTGGTCTGCATGTTCAGACAAAATGTATTTCAATGTGCCAATGGCCTCACACATGACTGCTGCTGCTGGGCTGAGCATTGTGTGTCCACAGAGAATCCAAAGGATGGACAACAGTCAGACCTCTCACAATGGCAAAGACAAGGGCGAAGGTCAGAGGTCAGATTCCTCCTGGTCAGCAGTTTGGCCCTTGTGATTACTTGTTCACAAAAAATAAAGTCCAACTAAATGTTCCCACATGTACGAATATTAATCTAATGAAACTCAGACATTTAAAAGAAGTGGTACAACATCTCTAACATGACACTAGAATACACTTCTCATGGGAAGTTTTGGAGACTCGTGATGTGTTAAGATTAAAAAGTATTTAGTGTGTGTGTGTGTGTTTACCTTTGAGTCGATCAGGGCTGGCAAGGATGTCGTCCTCCGCTGTCTGGTTGTTCTGTAGGTGGGCGTCCAACACTTCTACAAACACACACACATAAGGGTTACATTTCCAGTTCATTCCGGTTATTCATTAAATGTCATCAGAAGAAAACTATTGGTGAGTATATTTTCCTCTTGTCTTGAGCTCTTACCATCAAAGTTGGCCAGTTTGTGAATTGAAGAACTTACAGTCTCTTTCAGCTGTTTAACGGCTGCAAGGAGAAAAAAAAAAGTAATCCAGGAGAGTCAGTGAATGAAACAAGTTTAAATCTGTTGGAAAATACAGATTTTGAACTTGAATAAATTCAGATCGGTCCAAAACTCTGCACACGTCTAACAGAAAAACTTCACATTCTTTTTGACAACAACCAGCAGTCATACAGGCATTTATTTGTGTGTTTGTCTTGTTTATCACATAATAATGAAAAGGTTAGCAGGTAATTCATGAAAAAGTGATTGCCACAATAAATTACTTGTTTTAAGATAAAATCTTGGAACTTAAAGTTGTGTAGTTAATCTTCTCTGCAGGGGAATCAAACAAATGACTAAAAATAGTCTACAAGAGACTAATCCAGGATACAGATTAAGGTAAACAAGCCATCGTAAACTGGATTTTACCTCAGTTGTATATTTAATATGTTAAAGCTTGTGTACATTTCTTTTCAATAAATATGTCGGAGATAATCTATAAAGTCAAAGACCTTTTGAAATCACTTTAACAAGATAAACCGTGTTCAATCAGATAAATATCTTCACCCGCTCGACAGTAACCATGAAATCCACACGCTTCAACTCATTATGACTCTTCTATGTAACCCCCCCCCCCACACACACAGTTTCTGAACATAAGTGACGTTTCCTCTCAAACAAAAAAGATTTTAACTTAATCTTTAAACCGTCAATCTGCTTTCAGTCGCAACACGAAAATCTGTCATCTGATAAATATTTCAAATCCAAACTAAGTTACGCGGAGGACATAAGCGACACCGACGGCAGCAAAAAGCCACGATGACGACTGTTCATTTCCTCTGTGAAACATCAAAAAACTGTGATGATGATGAATGTCAAATAAATGTCTGATGATTTTTTTTCCATCAACCGACGTATTCATTATTTGAGAAATATTCACAGATCTGTCTTCAGCTGATGGGAAAATGTCACTGAAGCCAACAAAAAAAGGAGAAGATGCAATAACAGTTAATTATTGGTTGGCGGTAGAGGGACATTTCTACAGATGAGATACTTAAACTGCTTCTGGTGTGAAAATGTTATGTGAGTTAAAATGATTTATTAGAGGAGCTGATGAAGGAAACACAGGAAAAGAGAAACAAGGTTAGTGAACTACCCCAGTAAAAAGCTACAGAGGCAGCATGCAGGGAAAGAAAAGATGTGAAGATGTGATTAAGAAAAAGAAAACAGGGGTGTGTGAGGGATTTTTAAAAAGCTGAGAACCGCAGGTACAAAACACACTAAGAACTAGACGGGCACTCAGAAAACACGTACGACTTTATCACCACCTGTTTAGTATGAAGACATTTGACAGGTCATCAAGAGGCTCATTATCATTTTTTGATAGATCAGTTTTCTGTAATATATTCTTTTTTTCACATTTGTTTAGCCTGTAACTTTTCAGCTCAACAGATAATCGACAAAATGTGGATGTTAAAACCGAGCCACACAACAGCTTCAGGACTTTTTCGTGAAGCGTTTCTGCACTCCACAGACTAAAGAAACTCCACACAAGACATCTAAACAAATGTTTCGATGGAGTAGATTTCAAGTGTGAAAGGGGCCGAGTTCAGGGGGAAGACACGCAGCAAACTACTCAAAGCCGAACCTGCAGGGTTCAACCACGTGAGCTTCGATTAATCAATGTTCTGTAACCAAAAAGCAACTTCACGGTGGTGCTCAGGGAAGAAATATGTGGGTCTAGTGTCTGGGCACCATGAATGTCAGTACGAAAGGTTGCTACAATCCCTCCTGTATATGTTTAATGCATGTATTGCAGTATAAGTACAGGAATAGTCAGGGGATCACCAAAATAAAAAAAAAAAATAATAATTTCAAGACCATCCGTGTAAGTTTTGAGATATTTCAGTCTGGACCAAAGCGGTGGAATGGCTGACGACTGATATATCATCAGATCAATGCTGTGAGGCCAAACAGAGATCAATGTGATGAATAGATAAAGGATAAAATATTATATGGTTATATTGCATAGGGTTATGATGAGTCAAAATCATTAGATGGTAACACAGCAGTCTGAGAGAAGACAAACAGGAGGATTTATAAGATCATTTTCATTTCTTTTTTCTTTTTCATCATGTGTACTCTTTCCCGTGTATTGTTATAGTCATAGTAAGTAAAAAAAGAAAAGACTGTAGACAGTGTGTGTGTGTGTGTGTGTGTGTGTGTGTGTGTGTGTGTGCGTAGCAGCGTTCAGCAGAGATGGATATTTGTACTCACGCGGACACTCAATCAACTGTTGGATTCTAGTCGAGTCTCCTCCGCTGTTGTTAACATGACAGTTGTCTGATAGAAACACAGAGAACTGACGTTACTATGACGACTATCAGAGTCGAGTTGGGTATTTATCTCAGATTTGTTAATTCTGCTTATCAACATCTGATCGGACTGAATCTTGACTGAGGCCTACGCATCAATGATTTAAAGCAGGTCGGAGCTTTTTCATAATATTTTAACTAATCATACTAATGTTTAATGCTCACTTTCCAATCATTGTTTGATTTCGTCACATATGACGTCAAAACTATAGGATCATGTCGGTTAACTTCTTTTCCACATGAGATTATTGGGTAGAATTATTTCACTTGTCACAAACTCTCACTTTATTCTTCTGTATTGTGACAATAAACACATTTGTTAACACATGTGTGACCAGCTATGTGTTTACCTTCTGCTCTTACTCTCTGGATTTGATAAGCTGAACCAAAAACCACATTTTATTTTAATCAGCACTATGTTTGTAAATGGTTCTAAATATTCAAAATCGGTTCTAAATACCCAACTCAGTATTTGATAGGAGATAGAAAGAGCCGAAACGTAGACAGCGAAGACAGAAACAACGAAGGGCATACAGATAGAACCAGGATAACAGAACTATCCAGTTGCAGAGACTCAAAACAACATGAACACAGAGATGTTCGATAAACAAGCAGACAGGGTAGAAGTCGAAGCCAAACGTGGCAGGTAACAAAAAGATATAACAGAAACCACAGCGCTGTAACAACAGACAGGATGTGGACAGCAGACAGACAGCTGAGGCAGAAATTCAAACCTCTTCATAACTTTTCAGCTCAACAGAACATCGAAAAAGATTTGGATGGAAACAGTTCAAACTGAACCGCGCAGCAGCTTCTTGACTTTCTCATCATTTTAAATCTTGAAGAGTTTATGCACTCCTAAAGAAACTCTAGAAATCTGTTGCACACAAGACAAATAATGAAAGTCTAAAAAAAAAAAGTGGACTCCAGCAAACTTATTTCTTTCTGCAGTGCTCCTACTGATGATAGATCATCCCCTCGACTTAACGATAAGAGTAAAATCATTTCTGATAGGTGGCATTTCATTTTTCTATTAGTCTTATTTCAGCTAAAGAAAACTAAGGGAAAAAATGTAAAATGACTAAGTATACTGTTTCTAAAGCAGGATCCAGGACTGGCATTCAAAACTGGCTGCCTAATGTACACTGCAACTACTAAATAACAGTATGTTCAAATTCAAACTTCTACAAAAAATTAAAAGAAATAAGAGGAAAATAAACATTTCCCTGGATTAAAAGATTCTCATAAAGTTTCCAGTGAAGAAGAGCTCAAGTGAGATGAAATTTGGCATCTTGAACTGACTAACACCATCAAAGTCTCGTTTGTATCTTGTTTTACGGCTTATTTTATATTTTCAATATTGTTTAATTGAAAAAAATGTAACCTTGAATGTTTTTAAGTTTAATATTTATACTGTTATAAATGATACGATATGTAGGACTGTATTCTTTGAGTCGATAACGCACTATACGCCGCACCGTTATAGAACAACATGCTACATAAAAATCAAATTGTTTATGATTATTATAATAATCAAACTAACTACCATCGATATCTTCATCTTCACCGACAGCACCATCATCAGTGTCTGTATCGTCCTCATCTTCGTCTTCCTCGTGGCTCTCAGGTATCTGCTTGCTCTGTTTGTCCTCCACAGGCTCCTCTACGGGTCCGTCGGAGACAATGTCGACATCTGTCATGTGACCAGATCACATTTATACGAGTTTGTCGAAAACTTTACGAGCCAGACACATGTTCAGAACAGAGTGAGAGTCCACATGATGGCATGTTCCTTCACAAAGTGGCTACTGTGACAAAGTGCACAGTGAGACAGTCACCTCCAGCATTTACAGTCAGTGTTGTCATTCAATCACCAGAAGTCAATCAGTGACCAGAAGCTTTTTCTCCCCAGACAAAGACAAACCAAGCAGTGGACAGTTTGGCAACCGCAGAAAAAACCCCAGAGAATCCAACAAGCCGTGTCCAGGCCTGACAGTGATCCACCATGTCCCCGACACAGCCCGTCTCTGAATCAGACACCTAGTGCTTACAAGCTATCGTGTCAATCAAAGGTCAGGGGGTCAAGTCGTGTCCAGCCTGGAACTGATCCAGGGACCGAACTGGTGAGTTTGGTGAAGTGGCCACAGTTGAAACCGCAGGTGAGTTGACATATTATGGTTCAGAAAAACGATCCAGAATCAGTATAAAAGAATGTATGAATGATTATTTTGTGAAATTTAAATGTGTGTAAATAAATTGCGATCCATTGGGTCCAATAAAATATCAACTGCTATATTTTTAGCTTTTATCTGATTGAAATCTTTATGAACTACAATGTGCATAGATGTGCAAACCTGAAGAACCTCTTCAATGTGAGCTCTGAAGGGACATATTTCACTGAAATGAATGGGATTCCATTAATACATGTTCGGTAGAGCCAGGTGTCCTGTCTAAATGTCCCTGAACAAGAATCCTGTATGCGGTTACACAGAAATAACACGATTGTTCTTAAACCACAGCTTGTGATCACTGAAAACAGCGACATTCCCTGTGTCGTACCTTTGCACAATACTGCTCTGGCATTTTCTCTTCCTATATTCCTATTAACTGCATTTTACGAATCCCAACTTTATCTGTAAATTAAGACTTTAAACACATTAAACCCTGTGCTTCATAATTATCTAGATAATTATATATTTGTTGTATTTATACTGTTGCTTATTTTTTTGTAGTTTTATTTTATTGTACTAACACTTAGTTAAAAGCACACTTTTGGATGCATTTGATTAATTCAAATGTAAATTCATATATCTTAAGAGCAGCTGTTTATTCTTTCCTAACATGTGAATTATTTTTATAACGGTAGCAGACCTGCTGATTGTTTCAGAATCATCTATCTTCTGGATCAGTAAATTATCTTCACTGGACCTGAAGCTACATCGAACGCCCCAGAGACCGAACAATAAAGCTGCCATGAACAAGACCACAACAGAAGAAGAGCCAGACTTCCACTGTGACAGACAAAGAGACAGATGATAAGAGAGAGCAGCGAGCAACACAAAGTTTTGTTGACATCATGCAGGAAGTTGTCATGCATCATTAGTGCAGGGTGTGAATGTGACGTTAGCGGCCACAGAGATACAAAGAGCAACAGAGAGGACGAGTGTCCCGGAGCAGACCAGAGACGTGAAGACTCACCCAAGCTGTTGTTCTCTTTTATGCTTTTCTCTTGTAGCTGTTCTAACCGCACTGTAAACAACAACAACAGCAGAGAGAAGCGTTGACATGAAGTCCCAGCAGAGCCTCCTGATTGGTCAGAGATGAGATTTGACCCAGCCATTGTGTGTTGGCCACAGAGTTAAGGTGATTGGCTTACAGGGTGCAGGTTTGTTAGCTTGTTAAAGGTAAGGAACAAAACTATGTGTGAGTGTGAGTGTGTGTGTGCGTGTGTACCCTGCAGAGCAGCGAGCCTCTCGTTGCTGAAGTCGTTATCAGCCTGCAGAGCCTCGATGCGAGCCTGGAGAACCTGCTCCTTCTCCTCCATCTCCTCAATCCGCAGCTCCAACTCCCTCTTCTCCGTTGCTCCCCGCTGGGTCAGCTCCTCCTGCCGTCCCTCCGCCGCCTGGAGGTGGATGGAGGGAGTAGATGAAAAAGATGATAGTGAGGCAGAGTAGGAGAAAACCGTCACAGAAGAATACTGATTAAAGTAATGTTCGCGTACGTTTTTAGTATTTGTCATCTGGTTGAATGTTTATATGTAATCTGTTTTGCTAATTATATGTGTGTGCCATGTAAGGCCATTTAAATTATATCTCATCATGTCTGAATAATTTCCTTTGTGTATGTGGAGACTCTGAACCTACCTTGATTTTGTCTGTGAGCTCTTTGATCTCATTGACGGCAGCGTTGTACTTGTTAGCGAGCTCCCTCAGCTCCTCCTGGCTCCTCTCAGACATTTCTTTCAGGTGGGTGCACTCATCCTCCGTGTTACTGAGTGAACGCTGCAGGACAACAGAAACAAAAGCTCTTATTTTTAGCCTCAAAATTGTCAGAAAAGACAGTCTGGATGTGTTAAGTACGTGTGCCTATCACCTACCTCCACCTCTGACAGCTTCCTGACAACTTCAATCTTCTCCTGCAGGACTCTCCTCAGAGACTCCTTCGCTGTCGTCTCGTAGTTGTGTTTGTCTTCCTGAAGAGCCAAGAGTTCCTTACGGATCCCCTCCTCCGTCTGGGACTGTGCAAGCAGAGGGGTTCATACTGTTATAGCAAAATAATCTGTCATTTTAATCATGATGTATTTGTCAGAGCTGCATGTGTGTGTGCATTACCTTAGAGTAAGCCTGTAGCTGACTGCCCATCACTTCCAGTCTGGAGAGCAGACGGTCCTCATCAATCAGTGCCTGGTGGAGACAAACACTCATTTTATTATAGTAGCTGTGGTAATGTCACACTTAATTAAGATAGAATAGAGATGACAGAGGGCCAATTTGTTTGCTTTTTATCAACAAAACAAAATCCAAAGTTGTATTGACCACTTTAACTGTGGTACTTTAAAGGTATTTAAGGGTGCAGTATTTTTCATACAGGTAATTGTGTGATATGCATTATAATGTAAGACTTATCTTCAGATACATCATGTTATCTGTGTAACTAAAGTAGAAAAACAAGTTTTCAGAGAGCAGGAATTTGCATCATAAACTGTTTGATGCAGAGTGTTTGAGCCTTTTTTAAAGCACAAACAGCAACATTTACATGTGCAGATAAATGGACAAAACTGCCAATAAAAAAAAAAACAGCTGGAGTATACCCTCGTATTACAGCGCTAAGGTATTCCTACCTGCCAGCTGCTCTCTGAGGCCTCCTGAGTTGTGGCTAACAGACGCTGCAAAGTGGCGAGCTTCTGCTCCAACATCTGCTCTCTGTGTAAGGCCTCCTGGCAGAGAGAGAGAGAGAGAAGTGGGTGATCAATGGCTCAAATAAACAAAAAATAATTCACGAGGAAGAAAAGCAACAGATTATTTCATAGCGAGGAGAGATCTGGAGATTTGTTTTAGGAACAGGCAAATTTGTGCTCAAACAAATCTGTTTTAATTAACAAGATTTCGTAACACAGAGGGACACGGTGCAGCGCTCTTGTCTCGGTTGACACTTGTTTGTTTTGCTATATTTGCTGCATCAAAATTAGCCGAGGTGTTTTCATTTTGGACATTATTGATGCCTGGTGAAAAATCAACCTGTCGTGCTGACATTTAGTGCCGTACCATTTTCAGTGTAGTTACAATGGATGGCCAGTAGGTGTGAGTGTGTTACCTGCAGATACTGGGAGAGCTGGAACAGTTCCTGAGAATACATACTGGGAGTGTTGGCTGCAACCTAGAAAACACACAGCATGGAAGCAAAGTGACACTTGTCTTGAGTTCATTCAGACTTACACATGGATACACACAAAAACGCACACCCATATCCGAAAATGATGGGTTTACACATCACCACAGCGTAACACACAAAGGGAAGAAATACACACATTCCTTTAAAATCATACAATAAGTGTAAGAAATACGATATGAGAGTCCAGAGGCTCCGCGAATGAGAGGAATAAAATATATTTTTCTACGCAGGACTTGAACATAAATAGGTCGCCTTATGTTCTAGTACGGGAATTTCTTCTTTTAGAAACGGACAAACCAATTATTCAGGGAAAAAATTGGCAGATAATCAATTGTTAACTGCAGCCCCATCATTTACATTACTCTTTGTGGAAACATCAAAACAAAAAGAGATGTGTGAATGTGTATTTGTGAACTGACAGGTGCGTTCTTAACGATTTCACTGTGAACTTCAGTGTTTTCGTACCAACATTTTTAAACTATTCATGCAGCTGCACATTAAAAAAAAGCCTGATGGCTGCTGAAGAAGATGTTTCAAAGATTATTTTGTGCTCTGATCTTGAGCAAACTGTGGTGTAACCAAAACTGAAGCTGTTGGTGCATGTAGTTGAGTTAAAACCCACACATTCTGCTTGTACATCCAGTACATTTCCACCTTAACTCAGTGTGACAGCCTGAGTGGGTGTGTTTCTGACCATGTGACTCAATGTCTTTCAGATCTGGGAGGTGCAAAGATCCTGCTTTAGGATAATTTATCATGTTGGAGAATCACAGCTCCTCCTGGCCACTCATCGCACACACACACACACACATATATAGACAGTTAGCTCCTGCCTACATTCCTCAGACAGGTTACACTGAGCCTCTGTTGTTCTCACTGTTTGAGGGAGACACAGGGCAGGGCGAGGCAGCTGAGGAAGCTAACATGCTAACGCATGGTACAGTTTAGTATGGACTGATTTAATTCATTGCTTTAAAAGTTTGTGATTAAAAGAACAGATAACATAACACTCCTGATCCAACAGTATAAGAATCCAGGTTGAGCTCTGAACAGACGAGGAAACAAAGATTTTTACCTTTAGTGAATAAATGTCTCAATAGTTTTGAAGACATCTAAAGCACTCGGAGTGAACAGTGAGAAAAAAACTTTGCCGCTGATCCACATGAAAGACTTCTGTGGTGCAGCAGCACAAACTGGCAGCAATCCCTGCATTCCTCTATCAGCTGACTACTCTAGTTGTGTGTGTGTGTGTGTGTGTGTNTCCTCTATCAGCTGACTACTCTAGTTGTGTGTGTGTGTGTGTGTGTGTGTGTGTGTGTGTGTGTGTGTGTGTGTGTGTGTGTGTGTGTGTGTGTGTGTGTGAGACAATCAACCAACACACATGCATACACACACACAGAACTCCATCACTGTGGTGTTGGCTTACATGGAAATATGAGACGGACAAACAACTTGCACATGGGACACAGAACATGAGAAGCAACACATATTCCTGCTCTTACCTTGTCTACAGGTAGTGGTAACGAAGCCTGGATGACACTGAAAGGAAGAGAGGGGAGAAAACAGTTCATCACCATGGAAACACCATGGAGGGAAGACACTTAGAGTAACCACGGTGACAGAAGAGGAATAAAAACATGGTTCTGAGACTTGTGACTCGTTTTTTCATCATCTGCATTGAAGAAAAACCTCACTTAAGCACATCAGTCATCCTCACGACAGCCGATGTGGAAAATTAAACTATCTTTCACGGCTCTGTGTGACTTTTACATCCATGAAGGTCTCTGTGTTTATTCAGATCTGCAAAAGCAAACTCATTCGCTTCTTTATCAGTCACAACTCGACTACTAACGGTGAATATTAACACTCAGAGTTCCACCTTGTCGTTGGTCTAAGATAAGAAATCCCTGCTCTGACCTTTCACCGTTGTTGTTCCTCGTTCATAGTATTTTCTCTAACTAAGCAACCAACTGCAGAGTAGACAACCTGCTTCCTGTTTACACCAGCAAGCACAGGCCCAGTGTACATGAATGTGAATGGTGATGCGATATACGTTTTTCAGGTGTATTTGTATGGAGGGAGAAGTTACTTTTAAAACACAGTTTTATCCAAAGTTCATCCAAAGTACTGTATCTCAGAGCACCACAAGGTCACACAGGTTTGTTTTAGTGAGGGGGGGAAGATAATCACAGGTTTACCTGCAAACAGTGAGAGTCCAGGAATGAAGGTAAACTCGACTCGTGGGCAAAGTTTAACCTGATTGTGTTAATGTATAACTACTAACCAGTGGGAGGAGGTGAAAACTGCAGCAGGAAACAGCAACATTGATTCTGTAACATCTAGTGAAAACTAATGCTAAGTGAAGTGCTTCTCAAAATGTATCCTGGTTTTCTAGATTGTGTTTATTGCAATGTCATTGTTTCTTGTTGTTTCCGGTAAGATGAATTGTGTAAAGGGCAAATTATAGGTTAGATTGTGAAACACATTCCCCAGTAATGGCCAAGGAACTGAGATTTCTTTTACTTGACAAACACAAAATGAATACAAGGATACAGATGTATTTTTAGGCCAACATGTGTAGAACAGTTGAGCAAGAATAATAAAAGACCTGATCCAATGCCACAGCTTTTTATCTCGTAGCCAGAGAACATGTCTCATCAACAACTACACACTGATCTCATGTCAGCGTGTAGAGTCTCTTTTCACTTTATCCCTTTGTTAATATGATCCAGAGATTCATTCAGATAAAAGCAGAGCAAGAGAAGCTTCCTCAGTCATGACAGTCCTGTGAACTGCAGCAGGTCCGCAGAGATTATTCATGTCAGTTCACACAGACTGCTGTGACTCAGGGCAGCTCATCCAGACAGCTATAGTCTACGTTACTGTTTAACTTGAAGGTCCCATATTGCTAAAAGTCTTTTTTTGTATTATTAAAGGTCATTAAGCAATATTATATTATATTAATACTGTGAAGTTATTAAAACCCTAAAAACAGATGTCTGATTGAACCCATGTGAGGACACAGCTAAACATGTTTCAAAAAAATTCACACGCAACAGATGAGAATACAAATATCTCTGGATGAAAATGAGCTGCCATACACTTAGGAGATGCTGTCGACGTGGTGTAAAATTTATACATCATGTTCTACCCAAGCACCCCCCCCCCTCATCTGAATGTTCCAGATATTTCTTCCTGTTGTTTTGAACTTGTCTGACCTGGACAATCTCCTGCTGCGTTATTCAAACTGTCCATGAAAATCAAACCACAGAAAATGCCCATAAATTTAGGTCCAGACATCTTTGCCTAAAATGTCGTGTCAAATCTCATGTCTTAAAATGGCTACAGAGAAATCCACACAGTCCTTAGTCAGAACCTGTTACTTACATCCAGTCATCTGAGTGTTAAAACAATCAGGGAAAGTTCCGTCTATTGCTTGTAAACACAACTTAGCAAAAGGTTTGTCAGGCGTCTCCGCTTAACCAAAGAGCCAATGAAGGTAAACAGACTATTTTACAGCCCAAAAGATTAAGTAAAAGAGAATACCACTCTGTTTGTTGTCTTACACGGATACCATGCCAATTAAATGGCAGAGACCTAAAGTGAATGATCCAGCAAAATACCTTATTCTAAAAGAAACAGGAAAAAATATCCCCTTGTCTTTGTTGAGCATCTTCTGTATGTGTTGAATATTTATGTGATTATGTTGTTGATCATATCTGCATTCTATTTCTATACATATCTTTGGATCTTCATTTTAATTAATTGGGTACAAAGTAATTTCAGTTATTAATCTAAAAAGGCAGGAATGTAGACAGAATTAAGAGATGGGTTGGGAGCAGTACTTTAATTAATGATTTCTGTTTTCTACTTAAGGCCCAGACGTAGTTAAGTGAATTGGATAAAACACTTGAGAGGATAAGCCAATAATTTAAAGGGACTTCTGTACATTTAGCACCAATAGAGCAGGTTCTCTGCAGAGATCAGAGTTTCTGCTGATGCGGCTCTCCTTCACTGTGACTAACAACCACAGAGCAACATCATCCATCACAGTGCAGCGGTGGGAGACTTTATGTTTTATCCCGATCTCCTTGCACTGAGTAAAGTGTTTTCAAATCGGAGCTGCATTACATTGAGCTCTGCTGTCTTTCGGTCACTTGACACCCAGGAAGAACAGACATTATCCTTCAGGAAATGCTTTAATCTTCTTATTAAATAAATAAACTTCACTGACATGAGATCTTTGGCTTCGTGGCAACGCTTGGAGCCTTGTTCAGAGCAATTCATTTTCTTGTTTTAGGAAAAAACTACTTCAGCGATTATTAAAGTGACTGTACCGAACCTCCAGCACTTTTTTGTTTTGACTTCCTTCTTTTTGCTGGTGATTGGTCTATTTGAAGAGGACTCTATTGTCCATAATGACACCGTTTTACTATGTTCCAGCTACAATCATTCAGTCACATTGGTCTGTCTCACTTCGGGGGACCTAAAACCATGTGTTTCAGACAGAGGCTGAAAAGAGGAGCTGTCTGAGGACAATGAAGCTTTATTAACAAAAAGAAAAAACCTCCACAGCAGGAGTTTAAGGACATTCACTTTACATTAAGCAAATCTATTTAATTTACAGTCAATCAAAATCCATTGCAGTGCTGCACCAAAATAACGACCAAAAGCGTGGAGACAAAGCATAACACAACCTGAATCCTCAGCTCTTCAGCTACATCTACTATCTACTACTATACATCATAAAGGCTGAAGTGCAGCGGCTCCACAGGAATCATTCATCCACATCAGATCTAGCCAAGTGTGTTTTGCATGTAGTCCAGCAGACACTGATTACGGGAAAAAAATGGCAGTACTTTCCATCTTCTGCCTGCTCACGTATTTTTACCACAAAATAGGTTTTACAAACAAAACCATAACTCAGACCTGTTCTGTAGACAACGTGGAGAACGTTTCTTACCTTCCTGTGTGTGGCTCATTATCAAACCTCAATGTTTATTTAGCATCGACTGAAATCTTACTTTAATATCAAATCAAAAAGCTGCCAACCATCCCACCAGATTTGTTCTCTTCTTTACTTTACATCTCTTTTATAACATTTAACACACACCCTGTCTAGCTGCTTTAAAAACATTTAACATTAATTCAATTGGCAGAAAACCATTTATATTTCCAAAGTGAGATATCGCAAAAGTATAATTTACCAATCCCAGTGCTCTGAATATTTGTGGTTTAACTGGCTAATCAATCCTAAATTAAAAGTTTAGATAGTTCATTCTGGACATTATCTGCTTTTCTCCATTATTTATTAGTTATATTGGTGAAAACAGTTTGGACTCAACATGCTGCATTGTGGGAAATAGTCACCATTTTGTAGAATGTTTTCAGATTAAACAAATAATGGATGAAATGTAAAAGAACCTGAACTCAAATAAAATCCGGGATTAAATCAAACAAATAGTTGCAGGGCAGTTTGTGTGAAATTTCATAGGACATCCAGGCCTTCGTACTACTACAGGATAATTGGACTGATTGATGAATGGACTTCTCCTGGAGGACCTCCTTACCCACCACAGAACTGAGCAGAGAGACTATTGACTATTCTTTTAAAACATTAGTTGCTTTACATTAGAATCAACAAGAGACTACAGGATACCTCAAAAGTTAACTGCAACTTGTTTTTACCTGCATACAACATGAATAACAGACCCAACAGTCACCTGAACAAACCACGAGAAAACACTGTTGGACCGGACACTTTAGACTTTCATCTCAATTTTACGACAGGAGATAAATCACACAGTGTCCCTTTAACAGATACTGGTAAGAGTTGACGCTTCACAGTGATGCAACACAAATTTAAGATCACATTACTATCAAGACTCTGCTGCATGTCCGAGCCTGGTCAGGAGCATCTGAGTCCTGGTTCAGATTCTCAGCAGCAGACACGTTACCTGTCAGCTCCTCTTCCAGTGTGTCTCGGCTGGTTGTGTGTCACGGGACAAAGTTCAGGGTTCGGCCTCCATCTAAACCTGAATCAGCTAATCCTGTGAGAAAACCAAGGCTTCCCTTTTTTTACTTCATTTTCTCAACGAGTTTCTGACCGAGCGGCTGATTCCACAGCGCTTTTCCACAGCACGAGTGAAGTCATCCCATCACACAAACTTTATTTTCGTTCTACTCTTTGCTCCTCCCCTCCTTTGAGCAATAACAGCTGATTTTCTTCCTTTGACTTGTGCAAGCCCCTGTAGCTCCACCCCACCTGGCACTCATGTGAGGAGGACAAATTCTCCTCTCTGCTACAGCTATGTTTCTAGACTACCATCATGGATTCTGGGAGGCAGGTATGAGAGATAACTAACCTGGCATTGCATAAATTGGAGTCATCAGATTAAATGAATAACTCATTAATCAGTTTTTATTAGCATAGCCCATATTAATAAATCACGATTTGTCTCAGAGTTCTTAACAAGGTGGGGCATCCTCTGTTCTTAACCCTCAACAAGAGTAAAACTACCCAAAAAACTATTAACTGGGGGAAATATATAGTTTGTAACGAATGGAAAAGTGTGCCAAAGTATTTGTACATAAGAAAATGTCTGATACAGATGAGACATGTCAATATAAATCAATAAATCTAATCAAAAAGCTGACATTCTCAAATGGGAGAGCATAACAGTCTAAACCACCTGGCGACAAGTGTGTGTGTGTGGGTTTGTGGGTGTTGAAGGAAATATGGCAGTTGCTCAACAAGGGTGGTTAAACCTGAAACACTGAAGGTGTGATCAGTATTAGTCATATTTTTAATTGGTAGAATAAGTTTTTCATCAAATAAGAGAAACCTTAAATTCCCTGTGCAAAAGCTTTAATTGTGAGAGATATCCACAAGAGCAGATTTAGAGCTTTAAAAAACACTCTCTGTTTTGGTGATGTGACTGATCTGTGTTAATATAAATGGATCCTTGTGGGCTGTTCTCCCCGAACGTCACCACGTGTTTAGTAAAATAAATAATGATTCCACTCTGATTCACAGGCAGGAAGCTGCTGCTGCTGCACGTTTTCTAGCCGCTCAGTGATGTCACTGCAGGTGTTTTGCATTAGAGAAAAACAGTATGGGTGTATTCTCAGTATTTTTGTAATCACTGACTGTTTAACATACAATCTAACAGAAGCAACTACAGGCAGCTCAGACTGCAACAGAGAAACTGTACAACTAAGTTAAAAAAGTTTTACGGCAGAGCTCAAAGGTACAAAAATAAAACTATTCCTGTGAGTTCAGCGGTTCTCAGGTGTAAGTAAATGTAATTACTGAATCACGCTTTGCATTTCTGTTGGTGTGTTGGTGTGTGTCTGTGTGTGAGAGAGATTGGATAATCAATGAAAGATAATCATTAAATAAGATTTTACACATTGTAAATAGAAATAGAAGATAATGAGAGGGACAATTCATAATCTGTGCACATGTTGGATGTATTATATTTATTTACGTACACTATATACCATTAATTTGTCCAACCAGAAACACAAAAGATCCTTAGCTTTGTTTTTGCTCTGTTGCTTTATTGTCGAGCTGTGTGCGACGCCCTTTGGCTCCCTGTGAAACATATTGACTTTCGTCAGTCACACTGACCATCGGCAGCACCGGGGGGGGGGGCATATTTTTACTGCCCTGCTCTGTAAGAATGTATATTGTGTCCATTATGAAACTGAAGTGTACCAGAGAAAGACCAGAGACACCAGCTGACTAAGCTGTCCTTCAATTTGTGGCCACACACGTCACAGATTAACTCTCACTGTGGTATGATCAGATGTCCAGTGCAGTAGGTGCATTCACGCCTGTACTTACAGCTGTGATCGGGTCACCCGGGACGGATGTTAAAACCAGGTCTGAACTGAATCAAGCTTTCAATGGACAGATTTCTCCCACTGTAAATACAGGTGTTATACTCAGACACAGGGTGACTGTGTAAACCATAGACTGTATATAAAGGTATATAAGGTGTAAACCTGTGTTTGGCAGACTTCCCGAAGGCTAATGCTATCACCAGGGAGCAGCAACATGCTTTAGCTATTAATAAAATGTCTAACTTAGCTTCACATCACTCTCTCCAACTGCACTTTATTAGACACAGAGCTGCACACTCCTTGATTAGCAAGCTCTCCTTGATTAATGGGAACGTCTGCAGGGTTTTTCCTGCATAGAGAATTACGAGGCGGCTGCTTCCGTCTAATTTCGTGCCACCTCCGCCACCCGACAAAATACCAGTGGAGAGAAAACATGTGATCACGTTTGTCCTGGGCAAAATTCATCAGCAACTATAAGCGGTTGATTACTATTATAAATGGATTGTGTAGCTTCTGTATAATAGTCCCAGAACTTGAGGGAAAGGTAACGGCGCCAAACACTGCACACTTCGCTCTCTCTTGCTGACTGACACACACTTACACACACAAACAGTGTGATTGGACATGTGCAAACTCAGACTGGATAAAAACAACAGCATTTGTAGACTGAGACAATGTGCGGAGCCAGTAGCATTATTTACTTGTATGAAAACACCCAAAATGAACACTGTAAGTGGACTTAGTGGAGCTGTGTGTGTCTGCCTTTACATTAACAGTGTGATTAAATCAAGGTGGATTTTTCCTGAAATATGCAAATGTAAAGAAACTTCATCTACCACCACATAAACAACATGAGCAGAGCAGACGTTCAGCCGATATTCAACATGTCAGGATGCTCCTTTGCATTTTTCTGGAGTGAACACTGGACAGCAGAGCAGCAGATGGCGGTGCCCACATTGGCACTGTGGCCCAGCATCACACACGGTTTCTACAGTAGCCAATTACACACAGACACACAACCAGTACAGTAAGAAGCTCCATGCAGTGACCACTGCTGGTCTACTATGGCCCATTTAACTGTAAACACACACATTCATGGTCCTATCGTTTGTGAGCAAGGATCCTTCATTCTCCAACTGTCAGCGTCAACGTATATATAAATATCAAATAACCACTTGACCAACATCAAGAATAGCTTTCAAATGATTATCGCCAAGGTTTTAAAAAAAGACACACACACAATTACCCTTGCAGCCTCTGGTCGTCCTCAGACAGTATGGTTGTCCTCATCAACAACTAGACTGACAATAATCACATCACTATGCAAGCAGAAAAGTGTGTGTGTGTGTGTGTAAAAGCAGACACTCCAGCCATTTAACCACGGAGGAATTTTTTCAAACACAATTTGGAGTAATTATATTGTTTGTCAGTGAACACTACAAAGTTTTCATGGATCCACATTAAATGAGAATGCTTACTCGCTTCGACGGCGTGCCTCCATCCCATCGGGTAAGAAGAGTTTGATTGTTGACACAATGCAGCCATGGGTGACTGAAAACACAGACAAACAACCAGCACGTTAATGGCAGGAGAACCTGGAGCTCTGAAATAGTCCTGAACAACACGATCACCCATCAGCTATACAATCATCTTCCATCTCAGACTATTCTACCAGGGGCTACAACGACAAGCACATCCTGTTTTTGGCTAAAATAAATCACAACTAAGCTTACTTTGAGGTTGCAATATCAAATTATTATATTATTATTATATTATTTTCTTCACAAACATATTTAAACAGTAGCCTATAGCCTACAATAAACACTTACTGCATAACACAACAAAATCACAGCTTTCAGGCATGGCCCTGATAAAAGTCAGATTTATTGCAGGGTTGTTCTCTGTGATTGATAAAGGTTCACTGCTGTGGTTTAGCGATGATGTGCTTTGGGTATAGAATCAAGACATCTTGAAATAGCAATGTTCACAGATGAACCTCTAACAGCAGTCTCCTATAAAGGAGGTCCAGTGCAGTTTGAAGCCCGCAGGGTGTCTGGTATGAAAGCAGTATTAGTGGAGCTGAAAATCTGACCTTAATATCTGCTGTGTGTACGTGCACCTTATGTAGTCTATGACCTAAGCAAAATGAGCCCTGCAGTACTCTCGAGGGTTTGTAAAGTGTAATTATTTCAGGGATGTATGTCTCTACACGGCTGGTGGAGGAGGGAAAGAAATATTTTGTTCTACATCACTTTTGCCACTTTTCTTGTTTGTTTTTGATTCTGCAGGAAATATAAACCACGTCTGTGTCTTCTCACTTGTGTATAAAACATATTTCATGTGTGTGTTTACCTTTGCGTGTGTTCTCAGTGACGTCGACACCAAACTGAATGATGTCTCCAGAGAGGACCTCGCAGGGTGGACTCTCTTCTGAGCCACGACTCAACCTCTGGCTGTTGATGAATGTCCCGTTGCTGCTTTTAGTGTCCTGCAGGTAGAACTAACACACAAAAAAAACCGGCTGGGTGAAAATCATGAAAGGAAATCAAGTCACAACATGTTCAAATCATTAGCAGAGGAAAAAATCTGATAAGAGGATGACAGCACTACATCATAATAGTGTTTATACCACGTGACAGCAGCCAAGAGCTGCTTCGCCCAAAATGTCACCATCAGCAAATCAATGATGCAATTTCATGATATATTATTGTACCATCACAACCGATTGTAAGACGTGTGATGCGGTCAGTTGTACTGCTGGAAAAGCATAATGTTTATTGTGATGCCCATCTTACTGTAGCATGGTATTGTGCTAACATTTAAAAACGTAAGACAAACTAGAGCAAGGTTATAAATCAAAGTTTTGAACAATTTAAAATTTTGACTTGATAATGCCTCTAAATGAAAAGTCAGGTGATGATCATGTAAACTAAATCCAATCCAAGGACCATCACCGTGTACAAAACTTGACGCCAAACCATCTAGTCGCTGCTCAGCTGTTTCCCTCTAGACTAAACACATGCAGGGATAAATGCTAAATAGAGCTGTTAATTAGTATTTGCTGATTTACAATTTGTGTTTCTCAATTTGGAATGAACTCATCACTTCTCTCCTGCCATCAATACTTAGGGCTGCATGATTTCTTGTAAATAATCTATTTCTAATGCAAAGTAGATCCACAGCCAAAGAAATACACACTGAGAGACATTAAAGCAACGTTTCTAGTCTTTTAAAGGCACTTAAACAAGTCACACAGCAATCCCAAAGGAATCACCTCAACTTTGTTTCATTCACTTATCATTCAGAATGAAAACACACATACATGCTGGAATTTTAAAGTCACAGAAAGAGGGAAATGAAATGTATAAAGACACACACACACACACACACACACACACACACACACACTGATAAACACACACAGGTAGATCGACTTAACAACAGCTGACAGCAGCTTCAAACAGACAGGGAAACAAACATGCACATAAAACAACAAAAAGAAAACGGACGAGTACAGACAAACACAGGATGAAACATTAACAAGTAAACAAGAAACACACACACACAGACAGTGGTACACACACAAACACACACAGTTAGCATTAGCCTGCAGCCTGTCTGCCTGTCGTTCCAGGAGTTTCATTCATCAGCTCTTAATTCTCCGTCATGATTAAACGCCACTGTCGATTTACCAGAGAGAGAGAGAGAGAGAGAGAGAGAGACTAAAAACTGAGAGGTAGAGATAGAGCGAGGTAGAGAGAGATGCCGAGATCGACATCGCTGTTTATCCGACTGCAGCGTGCTACAAAAAGCTACCAATTCACAGCCCATGATGTCTATACCCTCACACACAGACACACACACTGACACACACAGTTACCTCCTGTCCCCATGGTAACCTGGTGACAGGGAGGGAGGGACCTAACTATAGAGCTTTTCACCCAGCAACAACACACACACACACACACACACAC